CATTCATATCTCCCATACTGGTACCTTTGTTAAACCTGACCTAGATTGAAGAAGGGCAAAACTCCGGAAGCACAGGGCTCCTCATCTGCTTGCCGAAGAACAGACAGCTCTCTTTTATTGGTCTATTCAAGATGACAGAATAAAAAAAGACTATACTGCCAGGCTTTGATCACAAGGCTGTGTCATTGTGCACTGCAGTGAATAAAAATTACAATTACAGTGATTTTTTTGTTGAATCCATGCAGACACAATAAGTCATGATGTGATGTGACTTCTTACCCACTGTATATGGCATGGTACCCTCATGGGAATAGAAAACGCCTGTAACACTGATAAAGTGGATGCTGAGCAGGGCTTGACATTAGCACCCGCCCACCCGCCAAATGCAGGTAGAATTTGGCTGTGGCAGGTAAAGAAGTGTCTTTCACTAGCCACTTTGGCGGGTGGAGTTCTATATATCTCTATTTTTTTTTTAGTGTAACGGCGGTTATTAATGTGTCATGAGATGTTCATCCACAAACGCTCGGTTACATTGGTGTCAGCGGTGGTTCTTGTGCACAACTACGGCCCGCGACGACTATTTTACGTTTCGGCGAGTTTTGAGTGCGCACTTCCTTAGTTTAGCTCAGCTCAACTGTTAGCAGGCTGAATCCACGGCACTTTGCGACAGATGTGCTTGGAGATAAAGACCCGTTTTACAGTTAGGGGCTGCTCGGCCGACTCCAGCAGAGATCCATGCGGACCTGCCTGCTCCGTTTTCTGACGAATGTAACCTCGGCTGGATGAGACAGTCCCAAAGTAGTCTTCTCCAAACATATCTAAAATAATAAACTCCTTGCAGGGTTCTCAAGCTGCACGCATTGACCGCGAGATCTTGAGAAGACTGTGTTAAACCGTCTTGGCCAACGTACTTTTGTTACTAAGCAACATAGACGCTCAAACACACGTGACAGGTAGAGGCTTTTGATACAACTGCTCAGTGCAAGTGAAGGATGTGGTGGCACATAGCTATGGGGGTCGCCGTTTGTAAAATCTTGCACATTCTAAAATCCTGCTCAGTTCTGGTACATTTAGCATTATCGTTTGAAAAAAAAGCACAACAATATTCATATGTCACTTTTTTAAACATTTAGAGAGAAAGTTGTTAAATAATCTAAATGTTTCATCTAAATGTAAATGTTAAATTTAAATATAAATGTTAAATGTAAATATACATGTTAAACATAAATGTTAAATGTTCAGTCTACATGTCAGACTTTACGACTGAACATTCAATATTTATGGTAATTCACGCAGCAAGACAAGATGGCCTAGGTAAGTAAGGACACAAAAACCTAAGTCCTAGGTTTTTGTGTCCTTTAAAGTGAAGTGAGTAACAACCAAACTCTTTTATACTATATTCATGTCATTAAAATATTTAAAACCATCTGGCTAAAGAAATTCTAAAATATATTTGGATGTATTTAAGGAGTATTCGAAGACTATCGCATATTTGGTTATGAATAATTTACTTCATAAGGAAGAGAAGGCGGAGGCCAAATAAGACATTTTTTTCAATTATATATGTAAATGACAGAGAGACTACTTGTATACCTGTATATGAAAACACAAATTTCTTATTATTTTTTTATCTGTGCTTTGCAGTCAATGTAAAAAGTATTTAATTTAGAGGGCCAAAGTCAGTAGTAGAACAGGATAGAAAACAAAAATAGGAGAACTTAAAAGTTTACAGTTTACTAATAATTATTGGACATTTTACAATTGTTGGCTTATTCAGTAAAACCTCATCTTAAACAGACACTAAAATAGACACTACGTGCTATATTCTCACAGCTGAACTCGAGGCCTCCTGAGCCGGTTGTGTTGTTTTCATGTTTACTAAATCACAAGCTCCAACGCTCCAGGGCATGTCCTACCACACAATATTTTCCTCCTATTATTCCTGCTTCTCCTTGAACACTGCCTTCCCTCATTCGCTGTTCTTGCTCCCAAATTGATCCTCAGACATATTGTTGGGGCGCACTGACCTATAAAACGTCAAAGCATCAAATTCTATTGTGGTACTTGAGGAAATTAAAACGTGTCACTGAAGGGGATAGTGAATGAACAGAGGCTGAGTGAAGAGATTGACCAGTCACATTTTACCCCTTAATCCAACATTTGAAATAGAAACATATGGATCCATATGTGATGCTGCTGTATATATGTTTTCTCTTAAAAAAAAAAAAACATTTATCAACACATAGGAGGTTGCCTTCTCTGTGTTGATGTAGATTCACCAAAACTAGTGTTTAAGCTTGGTTACTCCAGTAACGAAAAGGTTCAATATTAAGCTATTTGAGTTGGAGTAATACTTTTTCTTTTGCCGATGACAGGGTTCTGGGACAGAGGATGTGGCTTGTGTACAGATCATAAATCCCTCTGGGTTTAAATAGGCTAAACATTTTCCTTGACCTTAAGGGTCATTGTAAAATAACTCTTACTTTTACTTCTATTACTTTTTTATCTCTCTTCTCTTCTACACAAGTCAGGATTCATACAGGGGCTACCATGGAAGGTCATAGTGACCTTAACCTTTGACCGCCAAAATCAAATTTCTCAAGTCATACTTTCATTGAGTACAGTGAACCAGACAAACTGTTTTACAGTGTGTGGGGACAGACAGACGGTCCCTGCCTAATGGGGCCCAGGAGAATACCAGGGCACAGACACATGTTGGCTCCTTGTGCATATTGGTATATAGGCTTGCATGGAGACACATTTACAGGCTTATAAGCAAAAGCAAAAATAACCACTAACACGCACATTGTCTGCAAGATTCTAACTTGATCAGCATGGGAAAGTGTGGAGGTGACAGGGTTTCTCGCTCTTTATTCTAAAGCAATTGTTTTGAGAATCTAATAATCAAGCGTATGGGTTTACATTGAGTCAGTTTAAAGCACAGGGCTTCTCATATTGGCCCTAAATGCTACTATGCAAATCAGATGTTTGAATCAAGCCTGGAGGAAACGTAGAATGCTTTGTTGTAGAAAATGGGAACAAAACACTGATCCATCACAAAGTGAAAAAGAACACATACCTGTTTCCAGGCTATTTTGATTGAGTTATTTTTAAATGCCTTTGGTGTTAAACATGTATATGCACTATAAAGTGTATCTTTTATTTCTGGAACTCAACCTCAGGCCAATGACAAGAGCCGCTTGTAACCACAGCCTTTGAAAACTCCACAAACAAGTTTAATGCCATGACCAATTTTTCACAGCTAAATTCCTGGAGGAAAGCCACATGAAAAGTTCTGGTTAATGAAATTGCAATGTCCCCTTGGTTATATCAAACTTTCACTGAGTGCTAAAGATGGCTTAATGAGGTTGAGTAGATCCAGTAAATACAACAGTGTTTCCATAAACAAACACAAGGGCTGACCATTTTTCAATATCTGTTTACCTAAATTGAAGGACCAACTGAGCAAGATCATGTACAAGCACTGGTGAAATCCTGTCAGAGGGAGAGGCCCTGTATCAGCTGTTAGCTGTGACAAACTGCTTCCACTTGGAAAATACATGTATACCCGTATTTCTGCTACAGAAATAAAAAAGCATTTTTTGTAGCTAGTAAAGCAGCCATAGAGACTGCGTAGATGTCACGGATCATGTGGGTGTCTCAATGAAAGGCCATGAAACTGTTATTTAGCTACTGTGCAGCTTAATTACACTGAAACATGATAGCAACCTGTATGGCGGCAAATCACTGTCAAAATTCAAGAGCACAAATCGGGTTGATGCACGCATCATACATCAAACATCCGGGAGCAAATGTCCGTCTTGCGTGGGCAAAAGTTTCGACAACCTTAATTTACCATTATTACCGGCATATTAAGACCAATGCGTCCAGCCCGCAGACCAGTCCGTATTGGTAAAATGAAGTCCGAATCTGTGAATATCTTGCCAACTTTCAATACGGATCGATTTTTCGAAAATCAAAATAATGAGATAGGATATGCACAGGCTCCTCCATAGTCCAGTAAAGTTGGCAAGATATTCACAGATTCAGACTGACGGACCGGTCTGCGAGCTGGATGCATTGGTCTTAATGTGCCGGTAAATTAGGGTTATAGCTGGTTGACATCTACGGTTACAGAGAAGTGTCGTTTGTGTTTTGACAACGTTTTAAAATGGGAAATGGGCTTCTATAGTTCTGTGAATGCATAACTCCAGCCAATCCAAAGACAGGGGTTTGTAACCAATTAGATGTAGAGATACCATGGTGACTGGCTCCGCCCCCTTACTGTCAAAAAGAACAACAGCGAGCACGTAGAAAACACCTTTGAGTGCGAGCAGAGAGAATAAAACATTGGACAAGCAGATGGCTAGTCTAACAGCATTCTTGGACCCCAGTGCTACAGTAATGAGGCAACTATAAACAAATATACCCAATACCATTAAGATCAACATATAGAATATAATTCCTTACATTTACAAAGTTATTGAGGAATAATTCAAATGCTTAACCAAGCTCACATTTTGGTCCATGAACATGTATTTCTTGTGTTAAAATAATAGGATGGTTTAGTAAAAGAAGTATGTTTGTTACAGAACTGGCGTTAATAAAGTATGAAAGTTACGTAGCAGGTTGAAATCTCTTTGACTTGTTTTAACACAGGATCCTAACAGGAGACACCTCAATGACAGCTCTGCTCCTGTCCGCCCTGGGGACTTTATCTTTCTTTAACCATTCCTTAAACTTAAAGTATAGGGGTGTTATGATTATATATTGTATTTTAGACAAATTTGATTGATTGAAATGTATGTATAAATATATAAAATATTAAAATATAGCCATGAGAACAAACAACTCTGACCTCTGTGACCTTTGGTGGGATACAATGCAGTAGTCAGTAAGACGTCTGTTTTTACTCTTGCGAGTTCGGAGTACTTTCACAGAAAACAGAGTCACACACAAAGAAATGACTGGTAACGGACAGCAACAGCTGGAGGACTTACCACTGGAGCAGTTGGAGCCCCCCCACCCGGGATCACACTGGCAGGTGTTGGGGGCCATACAACGGCCATGGACACAGCTTGTCGCACAATGAGCTGGACACGGAGGAGACAGGAAGAGAGGGATCAGTTCGATCACAAAGGCTTTAAGAAGATATCTGATTAAAGATGTATCATGTCTGCAAGTTAAAATACACAGATTAAAAACGTCACTAAAGTAATGCAATTTATACAAACAGTGACCTGTGAGTACATTTGTTTTTGAAAGTGCAAACAGACTATAGCGTGTCTTCGGAAATTCTGTGGAATTTTCCTCAGCTTTATGGGAGGATGGAGGGCTAGCTGTGGACTGAGCAGCAGCTGAAGCTCTGAGGAAGAAGCTGTTTTTCAGTCTGTTCACACTGTTCACCAGCTAGTTACCAATGTGGGAGGAAGAAGAAACAAGAAGAAAAGAAGACGAAGATAAAGAAGAAGCAAAATCTCAATCAGCAGACTTTCATGGTTTTGTTTTGCGAAAGCCATGAACATGTCATCACTAAACCATATCACTTTCATTGACCTTGCTTTGCATACATTTTTTCGAATTCTAACGTGTAGCAGGCAAAGAAAATCCATCCAATGAAAATGTGCTAACTCATTTAATGCTATATGTAATCTGACTCGTGTGGAAGTACAATACAGCCTGGAGTATCTGGCAAATCCTTAATGAGACTCTCAGAGAAACATGTGATAGCTGCATATACAAGAGAGCCTTTAGTAAATTCTCTCGGAACTCCCAAGGCACACATTTTCACAGCCCCCGCATGAATCCAACTGTAGTCTCCACATCCATTGAAGCACACGGCTTTTATCACCAACCACTTCAACCATCACAACAGAAGGCTGTATGTTGGCATAATGATTTATGTTACTGTCGCTACTGAACAGCAGTTGTTTTTTGCCAATGGCCACTGTGGCTTCACACCTGTTACTGGCTGCTGGCTGCTGACAGGAAGGAGAGAGAAGGTGCACAGAATCTCAATGGTAAGTGAAGTTACAGTAATGACAACACATGTGGATGACAAAGGTTTTATTTTTCTGACTAACGGCATGCAGTCATTCAGCTGACCCATGTATTTTGGTTGCCTCAGGCAACTATTCTGTAGTCTAACCCTTCACGTGGATAGAAAAAGCAGTACAAAGACAACATCCAAACCTGTGAGAAAGTACTGCTCAAACATCAACCACTTCCTCTAAAGCCATGTAAAGACTAACAAAGGACCAAACCCACCAAAAAGAGGACAATCACACACAACTTGTGATTAGGTCGACGTGGCGCAGGGGTAGAGAGGGTGTGCCGGGAACCGCAAGGTTGGTGATTCAAGCCCCGGCTGCTCCATGTCCCATATCGAAGTGTCCCTGAGCAAGACACATCTAATTGCCCCTAATTGCTCCCCGGGCAAAAATGTATAAAGCAATATAGGTTGCTTTGGATAAACGCGTCAGCTAAATGTAATGTAATGTAATCCCAGATGATGATGGCAAAGAAACTCACGAGCACAGATCTCTCCATTCTCGTAGAAGCCTGGACAGCACTGGGACCTTCTCCGGTACATGGTCTTCTCTCCCCTTCGGTAGGCTGTCCGATAGCTCACCCTGAACACAGACGGGATCAGACACTCACCAAAGAAATGCTACTAAATACATGCATAATTGTAGTTACTCTGTGCTCATGAGATATAAAATGTGGGGCGCAAAACTGAGTGTGGATGATCTAAATCAGTGGTTCCCCACCTTTTCCGTTGAGTCCCCCTCTGACGATACAGAAACGATCAAATCTGACATGCCATCTGATTTGCGCTTTATGCAAATTCTCTCTCTCTCTCTTTCTCTCTCTCTCTCAAATATGGACTACTTCACTTCAGCAGGGACAACTGCTGCTGAACATAGATTATTGATACATAAACAGTTTAAGCTGTTCCTTGATGAAAGAAACATGTTTATGTTGGTATCTGTTCAGAAAAGAAATACAGATTCATAAATCTTGCCTGTTATAATGGTCGTGGAAGTTGTTTTGCTGTAACAGATAGATAAAATAGATAAAATCCCTGGCAGTGGCAAAGCGCTTTGGTTTTATATTTGATTAGATTCCCTTAATGTTTATATTGACATTTACAAGAAATGCTTTAACAGCTACTGTGTAGGGTATACTGATTTTAAAAAGCATATGTTTGTAAACCAAATGGTATTGCACTTATGTTCATAGCAGCACTTCTAAAATAAACTAGTGTTTATTTTATATATATATGCATATAACAATGCAATTGATTTTCATCCATGGCAGAAAATCATGTGATTAACTAAAATTTTAAAATGTAATTGTCGCCCAGCACTAATATGAATGCAATTCCATTCAAAATGTAGGGCTCACCATGGTATGGTATTTTAATAAACAACCACTCTCCCCACACTCACACACATCTTTGTCCATATCCAACCTCAGGGATCTAGTTCTCACCTCTGTCTGGTGCACTTAAACCAGTTGAGGATGTCCGTGCAGCTGGCGTAATAAATCTGATCAAAGGGATGGGCGTATGACTCCTGCACTGTCACCGAGTAACTGAAAGCACAGAAAAGTAATATCAGACATGAGTAGCAGAATCACAGCGTGTGTATGTGTGTGCAGGGATTTCATGCATGACACCATGCCACCGATGTTTGTCCAACAGGATACCCATCTGCACATTTTTTTGGCGTTTCAGGTTTTAATCATGGCATATTTAGGCTGCATGTGTGCGTGTGTGTGTGCAGGATTAAACATCTCCATGCTCTGTGTAGCAGAACCCACTATACTCTATTTGACCCTTCACTGGTGTTTTTTGTATATAGAGTTTAAGAATTATAACGTCACAGTTAAAGCAAGGGAACTTTGTCGGGGCGTTGACAGAGGCTACCTTATGACTGCCTTGTGACCTGGTCGGGCCACAAGCTCTTCAGAGGTAAATATTTTTCACTTTTGTAATTTGGTTCTCTAAAAACACCAGCAAATAATCTTTAAGGGTACATTTGAATTCTTTGTTTATTTTAATACAAGAATATAACACAATATGTCGGGGTTAAGTTCCTTCAAGAACACACATTTTTTAATTGCTGGTTTGAAAAAAAATGATATTAAGTTTTTTACTTTTACCAAAAATACCTCGGTGGTAGTGAACCATATGTGTCTCTCCTGAATGTTTCTCTGCCAGTCCAACACAGAAGCTGGATATGACTGACTATACAGCTGTTTTCCTCTTGCTGAACAAATGCCCAAGCTTTTTCATTCAGAAATCAGCCCAAAGCTTTATTTAACTAAGCTATTTAAAAAGCTTGCCCACCTAGCCTTTTAAAATAAAAGTCCCATGGATTAAATTATTCTAAACAAAAGGATCCACACGAGGCTTTTTATTATTTAAATACATGTTGCTCTTAATAAAACTGCAGCAACTATTAATATTGGTGCTAATCTTGGCATTAATTCTACTGCTACTAGTACTACAACCAGGGTCGACGGTGGTGCATGGGTAGAGAAGGTGTGCCGGGAATTGCAAGGTTGGTGATTCGATCCCCGGCTGCTCCATGTCCTATGTGAAAGTGTCCCTGAGCAAGACACCTAACCCCTAATTGCTCCCTGATTAATGAGTGAATATTAATTATGAGACCTGATTCATAGTTTGGTTATTAGTCCTTCTAATAATTTCTTTCATTTGTGATTTATTTTAGAGATTATTAATAATTCTATTGATGGCAATGATTTAGTTTCACGCTAGCTTTAAACCAGATATGCCCCTACAACGTTCCCAACACTATTATTACTACTACTACTACTACTACTACTACTACTTGTATTGTTCTAAGAAATGCATATTTTTGTTTGATTAGCACTCGGTGGGAACTATGTGTGCATCCTATGTGGTGTGGGGAAGTTTTAGTTGTAAAATGCTCAAGAAACGTGAAGTTTTATTTACTCTGCTTAAAACCGGAGTAAAGACAAAGTGCTTGTTTACAAAGAGTAATAGTAAGAAGTGGTCTCATTCCCCTGTTAGTCGAGTGCAGCCAGGGAGGAAGCTCAACATTGAGAATTAATTGAGAGTGACAGTAACAAGTCTGCAGCCCGGTTTTGAAACAGTAATTGCAGCCACTAATACTAATAAAACAGTCTGATATGTAGACTGCAGAAGATATGTAGTGTAAAACGTTAAGAAACATTTTGTATTATCATTTTATTCTATTATTTAAAGAGCATAGATGGAGTCACAAAATATTATTTCAATAAATATTCAACATGTGATGGCGGTGAGGCATTAACATTTTTTTCCTCCAAAGTGGGTCATGACAGAAAAAGTTTGAGAACCACTGCGTTAAGGTTTTGTTGAGCATATTTGTGTGCAATGTGTTTGTATGATATGTATGACCTACGGATGCCTGACCTGCTCATCAAGACGAATCACAGATAAGCAACTGTTTGTCACACCTGTATGTCAAGTTGGGTTTCTGTTGTGTCTCCATGGTTGTTTTGTGACTTCCTGTTTTAGTTTGGAAATTAATTCTCCTCTCGTTTCAGGTTCCTTGCCCTTCCTCATGTGTCACCAGTCTGATGGTCTTCCCTGATTCCTGATTGTGTCCACCTGTTCCCACACTTCCCTCATGTGTACTTATAGTCTGCGTCTTCCCTTGTCCTGTGCCAGTGTGTCATGTCCTTTTGCCTTGCCCAGGTCACCGTTTTTGCTCTTGCCTAGCCACCTTGTGGTCTCCTTAGTTGGCCTCGTGTCGTTTACAGTTCCACAGCTCCTCACTTTAGTTTAGAGCCTTTTTATTGATTGATTGTTTTTGTTTATTCCTCGGTAAGCAAGTGTTTGGCTTTTTCTTTCATTACCTATTCAGCTCGCTCAGTTCTGCTTGAGCATTTTCCGTTCATCTCTTTACGGAGAAGTTTTATGTTTCCAGGGTCGTCCCTGCGATTTTTGTTGGACATTAAAAACATCTAATGAACCTCAACTCTGCGTCCGAGTCCTCACCAAGAGTCCCCAGTGACACTGTTAGCGTTAAAGAACACAGAAATTAATCTGTTTTTCATGACGATGCCCAAAAGTCAGACTCTGAATTTGTGTTCTGAAAGGACAAAGGGATTGAAAAAAGATCTGGTCTAAACCAATCAGGGACAGAGATGCGGCAAAGACACACTCTTTGCCTCTGATTGGCTGTGGTCCAGATATTCCTGTAGGCCTACGCTGCTCCGTGCTGTGTGATTGAAATTGCGACTTGAACACCAGCGAACCAGTTACGTTAGAGCTGAGACGAGGAACAAAGTTGATCGCGCTGCCTCTGTCTCTTTTCCTTGTGGAAAGCGGGGGCGGGGCTTAGGCAGCGACACCGACAGGTGAAGAGAAGCAGTGAAACCAACTAAGCTAACTAAGCTAAAATCTCACCTAAAACAACAACCATCCACTCAGTCTTTCAACCTGAACTACTGTCGGTTCCTCTGGACTGCTCGTTCGCCGTCCCCGGACCGCCATCCTGCGTTCCTCCCGGGCCGCACGATTGTTAGCGGGACTGGGCCATCTCTCCCTACAGCCATGGAGCGTGTCGTCCTGTTGGCGGTCGAAGCCCCAGGTTTCTAATGTCTAACTATTCTGACAAATAAAACGTTCTTTGTTCTTTGAAATTGCGTACTTTTATTACTATGCTATTATATTGTCATTATGTTATCAGTGGCATAAAATGGTCTGAAAATTGCAATAATATTGCATATCGCAATAAATGTTTTTTTTCCATTAATCATTTATATAATATATATAAATGTAATTTGGGTGCACCTACATTTTGTGCTGGTGCATGTAAATAAAAAAGTAAGGTGCACCAGTGCAACCATCGCTGTGACAGAACGTTCTAAGTGTCATTCATAAATTCCCCCCGTTTGAAGGCTGTCACCGTCTACCGCGGGAGACGACCAAAACTATAGCGATCCTCGCTTACTAACGGACGCATTGTCCTCTCAAGTCACTGATTTCTGTCAGGCACTCCCGCCACACATCCAATTTCTCACTCAAAAAAAAAAATCCCACTCCGGTCCGAGCCGCTTTAGTTCCTATTGAATTGAAGCACTTTATTTAAAGGACCCATCGTATGCCCATTTTTCCACAAGTTGATATGGTTCCTTGGGGTCTCAATGAAATGTTTGTAACATATTTTGGTCAAAATACCACAAGAATCATTTCAAACAGCACTCTTTTTACCCTGTCAAAAACACCTCCCCACAGATTGACCTGTTTTGAGTGCCTGTTCCTTTAAATGCTAATGAGCCAGCTCCCCCCTCTCACCTTCCCCCTCCCCCGCGGGTCGAGTGGTGGTGTGGGGCGGTCCAGGGCCATGTAGGCAGACTCCCTACATGGGCTGCTTCAAAATCTACGTAGACGTTGGTGGTGATCCCACTCAAGCATATCGTTTCTGACACCACAACACAACACCACACCACAACAAGCCGCGTGAGCTGTTTTTTTCCAGTTGTTCGGAGACATAGGAGATACCCAAATCACGTATAGAAGCAATAAAAAAGTGGAATTTTCATAATATGGCCCCTTTAAACATGTACAATTTTCAGATTTTATTTATTTTCTATAATTTTGAAAGGCAGTCCTACTAGTATTTAGTTATTGAGAGAACATCATTATTTATATTTACAGTCATACATATATGTTCAGTTCTTTGGTATGGTAAGAGTTTTTGAATTTTAATGAATTAATTTGATTCGTCAGTCCTGTATTGATTACATGTAGATATTAATACAACTATCCCTCAATTTAATCCCACTAAATAGTTATATTATGATCTTCTGGACCTTTGCTTCTAGAATTTTTTTTTCTAACTGGACATCTTTACATTTTAGTTGAATACCGCTGTTGCAGACCCTTTTGCATTGGCTTCACTTTCCACAACCTGAGGTTGCCTCCTGATTAGAACAATGTTGTAACCCTCATTTTATGAATAGGCAGATATGTCTATCAACTCATCCGCTGCTCCCTGAAGAGGGTATAGGATTCAAAGTAGCAATCTGTAACACAGCCAAGTCAAAAACCTTTAAAGAAAACATTGCATCATTATGACTGACCTCTCCCAGTGGCTGCAGACATTGGGATCCTCCAGGTTGAGGGAGGAAGTGATGCAAGGCAGGAAACAGTAAGCCATAGCCAATATAACTGTTCTGTGATGGAACAGTGACATGGCCATATCAGTCAGAACTGCACCTTCAGAAAAAGAAGGACAAGAAAACAACACTTTAGTGGTCTCTGCATGTCAAAATCTAAATGCAGAGGTATAATATGTAGGAATCTCACCCCCCAAAAACTATCATCATACTCATGCATAATGATACCTCTGTGAGGATATTTGTAGGACTATGTGCTTACAATGCATGTTGGATTTTGGTTATCTGCTCCTTGAATTTGACAGAGGCTGAAAATGGATGGGCTTTTTGATTTTTGATGATGATTCATCATTGGAGTGTATTCTTCTGCTTTTGTTTGTCCAGTCTGGTGTGAATGAGATTTCAGAAATACTTGCAATCTGCACCATTAATCAGTCACACACAATTTCCATAGGAGCCATGGAAATTTTCAAAAGTGGGGCCTTTAGTCTAGCACCATAAATGTTTGATTAAAACGATTCTGGGTCATATATGTCATCTCTTTTTGTTCTGTGTAAAATTGCTCTTACCCTGACACCGTGATCACTGACGGTGTTGCTGTAAGTGGAACTAACTGTGACTGATCGACATTTCGGAGCTAATGTGTATTCAAGGAGCAGGAGGACACAGAAAACCGTTTGTGTGGGTCTTACAGCCCAGCCCCCGTGTGTTTATCAGAGCCATTCAGCAGAGCGTATTTCTGTCTGCCCAGTGAACGGCCTGACAAAACATTCTGAGCATCGGTAGTCCTGCCACACCATCTGTGTGGACCTAATCTGAGAAACAGACTAGAAAGAAATAAGTAAAATTACCGAAAACTATGATGATATGCTATGATGATTACCTCAGATACATCAGTGTGTTTACAGGGAACTTCAATATGAGGTGTATTTGTAATTTGCACTGATGCAGTTTTTTTGTAAAAGTAACCTGCTATGTGCATGCCTGCTCTCTCTAATGGCTTAAAGACTACAGATGTGAGCAGAGGAATGATTGATGCCTCAAATATATGCATGTAAGTATTGCATTCAGATAATTAAACACCTACTTAGTTTAAGTTTAATATGAGTACATTTTTATTAAAACAAAGAAGCTGGTTTGGTCTTCAATGTATAAAAGTATCACTTTATCTCTGGATTTGTCGGCCTGTCCATGTTGAATATAAGTCTGGTCTTCTTCCTTGACTTTATTTATTACTCCAGCTGCTTGATGAGCGAGCTGTACTTGGCAAGCAAGGTTAGCGCTCTGTCTTCTGACAAGTCTGCTTCCCTTTCCAAAACGTTGGAAAGAGACTACAAGATGTCTCCGGTGGCTGCTGACATTGTGTCTGTGCGGGCAGTTTATGGGGCAGCAGTCTTCTCTGGTTTCACTGAGCAAAGAGAGGCCACAGCTGCAGCAGCCAATGTTGAAACCCTCCCCGCCAGAAGACAACTGCACAAACAAGGGCAATGCTGTGTTTGTCTGTGTGAAAGGGCTCCAGACTCACAACCACTAATGCGGCCTTGCCGCAAAACTTTGATACACTGTTCCGGCGGCACAGTATCGACGCCTCTCTGTCCACACACAAAGGACTGCGAGGACTTAAGACCTGCTGTCTGAAGTCCTTCAAGTACCTGACAAAGGCTGCACAAATGTCATGGAACAATATTTAATGGCAGATTCAGGTGGTTTTAGTGATATTATTATTATTATTATTTACAGATATTATTGAATGCAAGAAGCATACAAATGTAGCTAAAATGAAACAAACCCATTTGTATATTGCTGGCTCTATACTCATTGTCTCATAGCAACCAATGATTGTCCCCTCAACGGGTTCACTATGAAGGCGTTGGTCAGTAAGGTGTGTTGCCGGGCACCTTTCACGGCAGCTAGATTCTTGCAATATCACAAGATCTCCTGAGATTTAAGTGCTGACAAAATGATCCTTCTTGTTAGGACTCGTAATGCACTTGTGTCGTAGCCATATTCATTTGAACAATTAGCGTTCTGTGACATGATACTGTCAGGTAAGGCAGGGTTTAGGGATGTGTGGGACGATGGAAGGAGGTGACTTTTAAATCAGAACAACAACAACAACAAGTTGTATCAACTACTTGGGTCTAGAGAAAAATATGGACGGCAACATAGGCTTCTCTCGTTTTTATAGCCATATGCTCTGGTATACTGTGATGTGGGAATGACTACAAAAACGTAGGGCTGATTAAACTCAGTGGGATGATCTCTAAACCAGCATATCACATACTACCTACCTATCTACTCACCTACTGATATCTGAAGCAAAGATTGTATCAAACCAAAGGTTCGATTGGCCTCAAGTCATCTTAGATTCTGGATCTGGATTTTTTGGGGAGTCCTGTGCGATGGTGGGTTTCGGGACAGAGGATGTTGTATGTGTACAGACTGTAAAGCCCTCTGAGGCAAATTTGTAATTTGCGATTTGCAGTGCATACAAAATAAAATGAATTGAATTGAATTGAGGGCGGCACGGTGGCGTGGTGGTTAGCACTGTTGCCTCACAGCAAGAAGGTCCTGGGTTTGATTCCGCCCAGTGGCCTTTCTGTGTGGAGTCTGCATGTTCTGCGTGCGTTCTCTCCGGGTTCTCCGGCTTCCTCCCACAGTCCAAAGACATGCTCTGGGGATTAGGACTTTAAATTGCCCGTAGATGTGTGAGTGTGAATGGTTCTATGTCTCTGTGTAGCCCTGCGATTGGCTGGCGACCAATCCAGGATGTACCCTGTCAATCGCCCGAAGTTGGCTGGGATGGACTCCAGCCCCCCCGCGACCCTGTGTGCAGGATAAGCGGTTTGACAATGGATGGATGGAATTGAATTGAATCTTCATACAATTTACATTTATGATATTTTTATGCCAATGATGCAATAAACATTACATAAATGTCCAAGCAATTCAAATGAACATGTTTTTCATTCAAGCTAAGAGGGGAGATCCACCTTGAACAATTAACAGGTTAATTAATTGGTTATTGATTTTTACATTCAGAGCCTAATTTTTTTTTATGTGCGTTTTAGCATACATTTGATCTGTTTGTCTGTCTGTTTAAAGCACTCTTAAAGGAAGAAGTAGGCAAATGTAGCTCTCTCCCACTGGAGATTTTTGGTTGTGCCTGACAAAACAACAGCTGAAGCTGATGAGGGAAGGCCTACAGCTGACCTAATGGATGTTAAAGAAGCCTGATAAAGTAGAGCTTAAGCTGATTATAGTGTATAACTCAGAGTTGACTGACTGAGTGGATCCCATGACATGCCAAAATGGTTCACATACTGAGATTGTAAAATACACATTGGAATAGTGAATGTGTCCATGATGTAGCATGAAATATTGAAATATCTAAGAATTTTTCAACTGAAGAAAATTATCATCACTTCTGGTTGGCTCACTAGAGGCTCTGGGAAAACACAACTGCTAAAAGTGTGTGTATGTGTTAGTTGTGCAATTTTGTTGGCAAAACAGTACTTCTTACTACTTAATACTTTGCCGCAATCGTTTATATTTCTGATTATATATATTTCCTCCTTTATCAACCAATAACATGCATGGGCCCCAAGTCACATTTATTTCGTTTTCAAATGTACTTATATTTTTGTTTTGTACAAAAGCTACACTGTAAAAAAAGATCCAGATTATACAGAGTTTTTGTGTTTATTAAAATTATGTACAACACTTTATAAATAAAGATGTTATCTGTAAATTAACAGTCCAACTGTAAATTTACGTATTATGCTAATGATAACAAATTACATTTTTTCTTACATTTTTCTACGGTAGAAATACACTAATTAGTCTAGAGTATTTTACTGTTGTCTTAAATTACATTCAAATCATGTAAAATAACTATATAAAGGTTTATGTCCATATTAACAATTTAGCAAACTTCTTCTTTCTTGTAATGCTTGTAAACGCTCACATTTAAAATTACGTCTGTTTGAGAGGGAAGCTGATGCTAGGCACCTGCGGCGTTGCTCGGTTGTTCTGCTTGTCTCTGCTGTTACTTGCAATATGACCTGGAGTATCACCTGTACTGTTACCTGCAGTATTTTAACATTCCATATGCCTGCAAATTTCAGTTGTGGGATGTCAATGGACTGAATCGCAGGCCGATGGGCTGGTGGAACATATGAATAAGACTCTAAAGTCCATTATCCGTAAATTTATTAGCGAAGATGAACGTAATTTGGATAACTGGCTTGATCTTCTGTTGTTTGCAGTACGGCAGGTCCCCCAGGCCTCCACGGGATTTTCTCCCTTTGAACTGGTGTTTGGCGGGACACTGAGGGGGGTGCTGGACCTAATTAAAGAAAACTGTGAGGAAGGTCCGAACCCCGGCAAGAACGTGATCCCGGCCCGCTAGGCAGAGCCGTAGTGTCCGCGCCACCCCCCCGTCGACCGACCGTAGTGTCCGCACATCCACCACCACAAGTGTTTGTCTGCCGGTACTTAAATTCAGTTGTAAACACAAACATTAAATAGAAAAATTATATCACAGCGTTTTATTCGATGCACTTATACATACAATGGCTCATGGGATTGTCTCTCCACGTTAGTAGTACAGCATTCAGTAATTGAGTCAACAGTCACCGGGAACAATCCGAGTCGCTCTCACGGTCACACCGCAACCGTGCTTCCACAACACTTCAACAACTCGGTTGTTACGGTTCTTTTCTTCTTCTTTTGTTTCTTGGTAGATGACTATCTCTGTAGTATACCGCCACCAACTGTACAGGAGTCTCTTAAGGTTCAGTCGTGCGCGATCAAGGTAGCCCGATTCCTGATTGATTCTACCACCACTCCAGTGCAGACGCTAATGAGCTAGATTAGCCTACTACACACAGAAGAAAACCAGATTACAGACAACGGAGCATACAGCGCTCGCGCGCTCAAGCACACTGAAGCGCCGGTGTTACGTACCTACTGGTTTTTGAACCACTGGTTTGTCTACGCGTGCGTGTTTGTTTTCCCCCTACAGCGGCAGATGTTGTCTGCCTCAGTCACCTGATTCGTCACACATTTGCAAGCATATTGCTGAAAATGTTCAAAAGT